AAAAGGAAATTGTGTTCTGTGTACAGATACCTCTGTACAATAGCTTGACTTATGATCAAAAATATCCGTCTGTGACATGGACGCTCAATAGCTCCATCGATTTCCCTTGCAGGCTTCACTCTGTAGGTGCAGTGCTTTGTTTGGGTGGTGGGTGGTGTTCAGACAGGGTGTGTGGGCCGGACTGGGCAGGGGGTAGACTGCTCTGCGTGTCAGTCAGGCACTCCGTGCTCTGGTGTCATCGCCACTCCAGGCTCCTTAGCAGAACTACACAGAGTGCAGAGCATTAACGGGCCCGTTTGTATTCCTGTCATGTCTGTTTGTGGTATTTAATGTTCTAACATCTCTGGTTGGCTGAATCCATATGTCATTCAAATGGGAACCTGTGCTTTGGCGAAGGCCTGACAGGCAGCCAGCCGCGGCGAACAGCGATAAAATTATGAAAACTCTGTCTCTGTTCATTGGACCAATCGAATTACAAGCCGTTTTTCCCTGATCTGCCTAAACACACTAAACAGCTGGTATGTGGCGCGCACACACCCAGGCTTGTCTTGATTAGGGCCCTGAGTGGAGTGGAAATCCTTGAGCTGCACGTTTGACACGCTTTCTGGTTCTGACTTCTTCTTTAACTGCCAACTGGTTGGCTGGAAGACACCGCATCAGGTGAATGAAACAAGTTTTAACGGAGCTATGTTTATATTGCCCACTATACACTAAGTATGGTGCTGCTTTTACTTTATTTTAAAGTCTCTGTGATCCTGTTTCTCCATGTTACGCTCAATGCCGTTGTCCAGCACTTTACCTCAATCAAGCAGCTCAGCTATGTCCCTGGATTCTCTTGTCTCCTTCAAGCAGAGCTGAATGGAAAGTGGATTTTTTTTAAAAACTTTGCATAATGGTTTCATGGTGCACAGTGTGATCCAGTCCCACAGGAAACTGTTCTATACAGTTGTACTTCCTAACTTGTATTTCCCCAAGAAAGGGGCTAAATAGCAGTGTGCTGACAGGACATCACTACAATTTCCTTATTGCTTGGGGACACAAGACTTGTTGCAGTTGGGGAACTGGAGCAAAAACAAAATCATTCACATCCCTTCCACTGGCAAGCGGATGCTTGGGCCCGAAATTTAGGGGGATAATAGCAATCGGCAACACAGACAATGAAAGGACCACCCTGGGCGCAAAGTTGTTTTTCAATATACAAACGGCATCAGATAAGCAAATAACTCACAGCGAATGTTAAAGATCTTTTGGGAGCTTGTGTACCCTGGTCCGGTGTGCATGAGAGGGGAAAAATGTTTGAAGACTGATAAACCAGCGTTCGTGATGCTTCACATTCTGCAGCGCTCATCAAGGCAGCGGATGGATGTGCCCGTTCAACAAGTTGTTTGGCTCATTCGTGCTCAGACTGAGTGCGTGAGGGGCAAAGCAACTTAAAGACCAGCCCACGCGCCCCGTTGAGAAGTTCACCCACAGACGCCGTAGTTTTCTACGGTTAAATGTGTAATTACTTTTCATGATAGCTGAGCATTGGGTGTTCACTTGGAAGCTGTGTGATACATTGTGTAAACAGATACAAATAAATTCTTGTTGAATGCGTCTTGATTTCGGGTTGTTAACCACAAAATGTGTTGCTTTGGCAAGGGTCTGTAGGCATCCTATAGGCACTGTACGCAAAGGGGTTGCACCTGGATGATGAAACCTAAATGCAGCTAAGATAGGAAAATTAAGCTACTAAGTAATGTTTTCATTCGCCTGAAAATGCATTACCCTTCTCTGTTGTACGTAGTGGGTGCTGCACTGCATTTTCCTATACGAAGAAATGATTTATGTTAATTCCTCCTCAGTTGTGTTTCAGTGTGCTTGTCCAGCCGTTCCCCCGGTTTTTAACCGCCAGCTGCTTTGAAGACCTGCCGTTTTCGTGCTGTTCTGTGAGTGCCGCTTTCAGTTGAGCAGCACCAGCTTGTTCCCCGAAGAGTGAAGGTGGACAGCTGCGCCGCGGAGCGCACACTTGTCAGGAAAATGCGTAGAAGCTGAAGAAGTGTTGAATTTACCTGGCGTGTCAGAGGGTTGTATAGGGCTGGCGGCTTTCCGGAGAGCGCCGCTCCTGGGGCCGTTCAGAGCTCGAAGAGAGCTCTCTGCCGTCACGTCACGTTGGGGTTCACTGGCTCTTTATTTTTGTGTGGGGGTGTGGGATAAAACCCAAACACTTTGGCTCTGGTTCCAGCCATGCGTGAGTATCCTTTAAGGCGTATCGAAGATGAGCCACATCCGAATGACACTTTCTCTCGCAGGTTTGGAGGTTTTTAGTTGAACTGTTTACTGGCACCGTGTAAACGCGCAACGCCGGTAACAGCGCATTTTCATTTCTTACAACATTGCACTTGCAGGAGACAAAAAAAATGGGAATTATATTTGAAAGGCTATCAAAAAATAGTCACAAGACTGTCAAAGCCTGCACTGTCCCTTTTTAACTAATGAAGAAATAATATAATCCAATACACGCATGTTTTAAGGAGAACATTTGAAATATCTTGAGTAATATTTTTGTTGATCGTGATTTGATCAAAGCCATTCCTGTCCCAGTCTCTCTCTTTTGTTTTGCTTATATCGTAGATTTTGTGGCAGGATAAGTGCTCTGTTTACTTTAGGGGAATTCTGCTATTTAGTTTTAGCAGACTGACAATGTGCAAAGCTGTTCATTCCCTTTTTAACGCCTTTACAAGAAAGCAAGGTATGAATGAACATGATTTAGAACAGATTCCTTTAAAGCGCAGAATGTCCGAGACGGTGCTTGTCAGGTCCCGCTAATTAAAATCGGGCATAGGTTTGCGTGTGCGCCTCGGGAAAACGGTTTGTGCTGGCTTTTATTTAGCTGCCCTTGAAACCCCGGAGGAGGTTTTGTGTGTGTGTGCTGGGACGGTTTAACCTGGCAGCCCACCTGGGTGGTTGTGCGTGTGTGTGTGTCGTGTCTGACGACCTGAAAGCGCTGCCTCTGAGGTGAGGCAGGAGTTGATCTTTGCCGTTCGCCTGGGCCGGAGCCGCCTTTCGGGAAGACCCGGGATGAGCTCAGCGAGGGCGCAAGCAGCTGCTCCTTAGAATGTGTTACGTAAGCCTGTTACAACAACACACGCAGCGGGGGGAAATGTTTATTAATTCTCTGCTTGATCTGTGACAAGAGAAAGCACACCACATTCCAAAGGCAGCACCCGCGTTTTGGCAGACAATGAAAGAGTTGGGGCTATAGTAAATCTCAATTAAGTGCTTTGTGTCCGTGTGTAAGAGACGCATGAAGGAAAACGAGGCCAATAAAATAGTTCTAACAATAGTCGTGTAGCCTAGAGATTTTCTAGATTGAAGTAGGATGTCTGTAAAGTTGTTGGATAGTTTTAAATACACGAATGGGATTCTTTCCCCCAAATGTTTTATAAATCTGCTCTTTATTTGGCAGGGCCCTTTTTCTCCTCCATGTGTGTTTTATTATTGTTATGGCTTTATTTGTGACACCCCATTCCAAATTCCCACGTTTGTTAACTGTGTGTAGGCGAGAACTTGGACTGCGCGCAGAGCCTTGCCTTCTGACGCTGTTCGGCAGTAAACAGCGGGAATTGTAATGCCGGAGTGTTCCACGCGACTGCAATACCTTGGCTACCGGGTGGATTGAAGATTAAGCCCTCTAGCTGTGGAGTACGAGCAACACAGTCCAGGAGGCCACTGGGAGGTCTCTCTCGCAGCACCCGGAGAGGGGGAAAGCGTTTTTTTGTGCTCGTCGGTCGGGCGCAGTGGGAGTCTGCTGTAACTACGATTAATTCCATGGATCCTCTGTCTTGCCTTCCCCTTCCCTCAGTTCGCCTCCCAGTCCTGGTGCAGGAGGACCACACACTGGCTGGTTTCAGTTCCAGCCCAGCTCCCTGTTACACCACTGAACTCTCAGTTTGACTCAATAATAGGATTAGTTTGAACCATTTGACTCCTTTCAACTCTTCAGCCCGTTGGAGGGTCCCTTTTAACTGTGGCATTTCATCCGTCAAATGAAACCCCTCGTTTCCGAGTCAGGGAAACTTTAAAATATCTACGCCGAGCAGCTCCAGGAGCAGGCCGGGGAGCTCCTGCCTTAGGCGACTGCATCTCCATGGCGACCGTCTTGGAACATGTCAGAGAAGAGAACGGGCTGCTCCCAGCTGGGCCGAAGAGACTGAAGTCGCCGCAACTCTCACACGGACCAGCTCAAGTTCGCTCTGCTGAAAGCAAGTTGTTAGTGCGCGCCGCCGTTGCGGATTTTGAAGCGGGTGTCTAACTACACACAGGCGGGCGGGCAAGTTTGCGTAGCAGCTCAGGGAAGAGGGGGGAAAGTAGGTCTGTCCCATCACTCTCTCGGGTGGCTTTTCATAGCAGCGTGCTTCTCATATCGTGAACAATACGCCGCTGTCGGGTAGCAAACCGACAGCTTATTTATGTCTTATTCCTTTTTCAGCGGGTGGTGACTTTGGCGTTTGGGACTGTAGCTCCCAACGGCTACAGTGACCCCTCACAGCAGTAAACAAAATGTTTAAAAAGAACACGGTGGAGGGGCGGACTGTTTGGGTTTGTCTTCTTGTAATCATTTTTTAATGAAATGATTCCCAGGCAAGTTATCTTGTTCTGCTTACTGTCTACTTCCCCTCCCTTCAAACAGCCATTTCAGAGAGATGTGTATTTCTGGAGGGAGTTTTTTTTTTTTTGAAGAGTCCAGAGGCCTGAGGCCTGTACAGGCTGGAGATCCACACGCCAGAGGCATGGCTGGCTGGGTTGCAGAGGACGGCTTGTGTGTGGAGCGCAGGTGTCCATGCCTCTCCGCGTGCGTGCGCGTGTGTGTGGGTGGGTGGTATGCGGTGTGTGTGTGTGTGTGTGTGTGTGTTGTTGTTGTTGTTGTGTGTCTGCGCTTGCGTGCGCGACAGGGCCTCGGCCCGGGCCTCTTCATTCGCCCTCCTGACTGGTGTCTCTGCTTTGGTTGGCTCTTTCAGCAGATGCCTCCTCAGTATAGTCAGCAGGGTATGAGCGGGTACTGCCAGCAGGGCCAGCCTCCCTACTTCAGCCAGCCTCAGCCGCCCTCCGCTCTGACACAGCCTGCCTACATGCAGCCCAGAGCCCCGGCCCAGCAGGTAAGACCCCAGATTCCCGTCCAACCTCCGCAGGCCTCTGTCTGCTCTCTGTTCCTGCAGCAGACGCTGATGCTGCAGCAGACGCTGATGCTGCCAGGCTTGACCGGCTTGAAAGTGTTGTGTTTTCTGATTTTGTTCTGGACAGCAGGCCCGTTTGACGCCGTTCTGTTCCGACCGCACGGCCCCCGATGTGTCATCTCCAGGGGTTGGCGCTCTCCTTGTGCGAGTGGCGGTAAGGCCACTGAGGCGGGGGGGCCTCTGTCCCCCCCCCCGACTAGCTTTGAAAATGTGAGAGTTTACCTGAGACGGGCCCGAGCTCCGAGGGGTCACTGAGGTGAATCCAAGTCGCTTCAGTGTGAAAGGGATTACTTCAGCACAGCCCTGGCTGAGTCTTGATTTACTTCCAGTGGGATTCTCTGTTATGATTAAGAATGGAAAATCAGATGTAACTCGACCTAACTCACATTTTTGTCATTTAAATATTTAACTACCTTTTTTTTTTCCTGAAAGACCCTTGGGCATTGGGTGGAAAAGGAAGTTTCCTGGTCTGTGCTCATAACATGGCGTTTCTTCCCTTTCACTCTTATTAATTTATTCAGCAGATTCTCCTTTCCTAAACGGCTGTAGTCATGTGTACAGCAGTCCGTTTTGCCAAAGACACTCGCGTGAATGTCCTTGTTCGAGATACAAGCGCAGTGCCTCCTCTGGGGTTTGAGCTCACAGTTCAGCTGCCAGTCATGATCCCAGAGCCCTCGCCGCTCCTCCCCACTGCTGCCTGTACGAGTGGATGGGAAGGGTTCATTTTCAGTGACTTCTGTTGCTCCTGTCTTTATGGAGTCGAATAAACTTTGCTCTCTTTCAGTGGCGCTTGAGAGTTGCACCTGGGGGAGTGTGGCCCCGAGTCCTGCAAGTAAAAAAAGGGGAGTCAGTTGTTGGATTTTTGGACGGTTAGGAACCGCAGAGAAACTTCACAAGCTTTTGGGATCTGGAGTTAGGTGCAGAATTGAATCTTCATCTTCGGAGTTACACTGCCTATCTTGTTATACATTTCTTAATACTTTTGCTGTAGCAGTGGTGCAGGATTTCTGCCTCTTTCTTGATGGGCTAAAAAGGAAAGAGGGCAAGTAAAACTTGCACACAGGAGGGGTGCATTACCAGCAGAGGTCTTTAGGAGGGAAAATGTTAACAAGCGACCTTTGGTAACACCACAGGCTTGGCCTGTTTATTATGCTGCGCAGAGGCCTACGATTTTGAAAAGGTCACAAAAGCCTTTTTAAAAAAGTTTTTACCTTGGAAAATATTTCCATCTTAGTTTAGTTTCTAGAGGAAACATACAAGTAGAGGACGTCTACCTCAATATGAAATTTTCAGACTGCTTCAAACGTTTATTAACTGACAACTGAAATGTTTAAAGTATAAACTGTTGGCTGTCTCTAAACAGAGACCCACTCAGATTTCTAGAAAGACATCGGTTTCATTTCTTTCCCCAGCTTGCCTTTACATTATAACTGGCTTTTTCTTGTGAACTGAATTCTTTTGTTCCTGGTTAAAAAAAATAACGCATTTTGGTTTCCTTAGTGTGTTTTTCTCAGCATATCGCTCGATTTGAGTTGACAGTCCTTTGAGAAGGAGTTAAAGAACTTACCGGGCAGTGGAAAATGGTAAGAGGTGAACTGGAGTTCATAAAATGTAATTCACTTTCTGCTCCTGTTAATATCTGGTAGAAATTCAGTTAGTACATCAGTCACCCACTTCGATATTTTCCAAGTTCCAAGTGAGGGCCACGTGCGATAGCAGATGGGCTGCCATCCTCCCACAGGACACCGTGGCTTCAGAAATATGAAAGTAAGCTGAAATCAGATTACTCAACTCAATCCAAGAGACAGATGCAAGCAAGGCGTAACTCCATCTTCTCTGAGGATGACCATGGTTCTAGGGCATTTACTTATGTACTCTCCCCCAGACATTTGAGAGCACGTGATGCCTGATGACTCTCTTGTCAGCAGAGAGCTCAGTTGAAAGCAAAATGGTGCCTTTTTGTTTTATTAATGAAACAAGTGGAATAATCTTGCTGACAGTGTACAGTATCTTTATTCTGAGACCCTGTGTAAGAATTCCTTTCCCATTGTTGTCCTTTTCTCCATCAATAAAGTGCTTGAACCAGCCAATGAGTCTGTCTCTCCTCCCTCTTATGAACAGTGTAACACATTTGTTCATTTTTTTTATGACAAGATACAGACTGTTAAGCTGAGACCTCAACTCCTGCAGTCGTGCCAATTATGCTTTCTTGAGTTTTTGGGCCCTAATGCCAATGGTCTCAAGCAAAGCTGGTTCCTGGTTTTCTTTGTTTGTTACCTTTCTGCCCATGGTGTTCCTGAGGTCTGGTCTAATGCCTGGAGGCTCAAAATCTGCTGCTGTCACACCTGTATTAAAATAATCTAACCAGGACCACCGAGAGCTTGACAACTCCGTCTCTCTGTCCAGTTTGCCTCTTCTCACTACAGTTCTGCAAAGGCGGGTGGCGGCTCAATTACAAACTCGCTGTTCACGTAAGGAACTCTTCAGACCCTTTCAGTCAGGGTCTCCACAGAGACACAGCACTGAAGCAGCCCTTGTCGCGATAGCTAACACTTTGGTGATGGTTTCTGACTCCAGGTCACTTAATATGCTTCTCTTTCTGGATTTAAGTGCAGCTTTTGGTTCTGTCAATTAAGGCATCCTGCCTGACCATGTGAAAAATTACCCATTATCTTGTTCTGAAAGCTTTCCTCCAGTTTTAAATCAGATGTTGTTTCCTTTGCTCAGGGTGTTCCTCAGGGTACTTTGCTGGGTCTTTCACTACACAGACTTTCTCTGCTGCCCTGGTGGACTGATTGCACATTGCAGACCAGATCAGATCCTGCTGCTGCAGGTATTTTCCTAAGCCTCGTTAAGACAGATTTTGATGCAACAGTAGTTTATTTGTACTAAACCCGAACAAGACTGAGATTATGCTTATAGCTGCCAACATCCGCTTCACAAAGGGAATTGAAGAGAAGCCAGGGTTTCATTTTCATCAACCTGGCTGCATAGCTTATTCCAGATTCCTACAACTCTCTGCGTAAAGAAGCGCCTCCAGTTCTAGATTTTAAACACACCTCCACATAGTTTACACTTGTGACCCTGGGGTCATGTTTCACTCTTTGTTCTCTGTTCATACTCCCGTCCTCTGTAAATGTCCCTGCCTTGCTGCCTCCATGAGTGGAATCTTACCCATGGATCTTCTGATGCTGTCTTCCTAACTCATCCAGGGACAAGGGTCAGCTCAAGGGCTGATGAGGTTTCTCCTGTGCAGCACCATGTCTGAAGGACCCGTCGCCCCCAATCCATTACAGACTCGGGTTTTGACATGTTTAAAAAACGTGCTTCAAGAACCAGTCTTTTCCCTGTAGCTTTCAATGTATAGTGTAATTGAGTCTTACCCTTGAAATCACTCTGTTAGTGTGCAGTTTTCTTTTGCTTCCCTTTCGCTCGTATATACTGGCACATAGCCTTTAGTCTCTGGCAAAATCCTCATACTTCAGTTCATATTAATATTGTTGCCCCCATAAAAGGACATTTCAATAATTAGTTAAGAGAGCAGCTTCGGTTAGAGCTGAATGCGGCTTGGCTCCAAGAAGTGTTGGAGTGTCCTTTCAGACTAGTGCAGTATTGCGATATATTATGGCAGGAGGTTCTTGTAAGCTTTCGATACATGCAACGTTTCAGTTCTTCCTGTAAATAAATTGCTTTCCTTTCCTGTAAGAGATATAGAGTCAATACCGAAGCCGTGTGTTGTATTAAAGTGGGCTACCCGAGTAATGGGGTGAACTGTCTGGGTTTGTTTCACGGGTTCCTTCATGAAGTGTTTAAGAAAAAGTGTGTATTACAAAACCATGTTTTAAGTGTGTGTTTTAAAACCACCTCTTACCACATGTCTGTGCTTTAAGACCGTTTTTTTTTATTCTTCCAGAAGTACCACTCAAGCACAGTTTTAACGATGGCCTTCTGGCCTGTGAGTCACTCTTTTCCTGTAATCATTGTGGCCATTTCCTCTATGGCCTGAAATTGCTTCCGTTTCTTGTCCTCTGATCGATGCTTGTCAGATGTTTACAGTCCTGGAGAATTCACAGCCTAGCTGAACGGTAGCAGGGTTTTGCCATTAGTTCAGCAGCCCATAACAGCAAACAATGTACAACAGCAAAGCATCTTATTGTAGTAGTAATAAAGAGACACTACAGCAAGGCTTTAGTACAGTTCCTATAAAAATAAGGGTGGTGTAAGCAGGTGGTTAGATGTTTTTATTAAGTTAATAGTATGTTTTATACTGTCAGGACAAGAGCAAACCTCCATGTTTCTAAACACTTTTGTGTATTTTATGGTAATAGTAGCTCTGTCAGCTAAAATATAACTTCAGTAGATGTTATAACATTATATATTATGATTTAAAAATGTTCACCTTATAATTATACTACTTGGCAGAAGAATGAAGACCCTTGCACAGTTTTTCACAGTTTTGTTTATTTTAAAGTGTGCAGTCATGACACTTTGAAGTAGCAATTAATATGTTATACACACAACCTACTCCACACATTTAAAGTAAAAAACAAAAGAGAATGAATACACAAATTTATATGAAAGGAAAATGAATAAGTCCTGATTGTGTAAGTATTCAAACCCTTGGCTGTGGCAAACCTAAATTAATTTGGGTGCGCAAAATTACCTTAAGGAGCCACACAATTAGAATGCGTGCAATAATAGTGATTCAGATGATTTCAGTATTGATACACCTCTCCATAAGGTCCCTCAGTCAGGAACGATTTTCAAGCCAAGATTCAAACCATAAAAATGAAGAAGCTTTCAAAACAACTCAGGAATTTCAACTCAACATCTCTCCTCAGACAGAAGCATAGACCAAGAGAATGGTATCAAAAATTCTGAAGGACACCGCATATTTCTTTGAACAAGTTGATCATTAAGAA